ACGAAATCTGTTCCGCCTCCAGTTAACCCCCGACAATACACTTCAACGAAGCTTCACTGAAACTTCCTCTTCTCCCTACAACCCCCAGCCTCCAATGATAGCCCACTGTTGAAAACAGCATCTCATCATACCCCGAGCCTGTGAGTACACGGGGTGGTCTGGCATGAGACAGATACCAAGTCACAGTGCCGCCAACCACCGTGAAGAAGAAGGTGAGCCTTGATGAAGAAGATGATGGCTGCCCCGGTATGGCAGTGTGATGGTAGCGGCATCAAGGAAGAAAGCGGCTGTTCTTCCACCCCAAAAACAGTAGTGTGATGGTAGTGGCATCAGCCACTGGAAGACCTCTTACAGGCGCTGCCTCCTCGAGCAGCAGGGCGCCCCAGCTATGGCTGCCCAAGTTCCCCTTGCAAGAGGAAGTGGACTGAGTGCTGGAAATAGTGCTGCTCACGTACTCCCGTCGCCACTTCCAAAAAAAAAGATAAGAACCCGAGAGAGAGAGAGAGAGAGAGAGAGAGAGAGAGAGAGAGAGGTATTCTACCTAGAACGAGTATGAGAGTAGCTGAGGCGGTTACATCATAGGAGAGGAGCTAATCTGTTGTTCTTTATTGATGACAGTATGCCAGAAGCTGGGCTTTGTTTATCAACCGAGTTCAGCAGAGTTGTGTCTTCATTTACTATTTAGGGCATACTCACACTAACACTTTCCAGAATGCATCAGACTGCAATTACAGCGAGACCTGGGTGAATCTGACAGCAATCCCATCCCGAGTCTTGTGAAAAAAGTCCTCGTGTGAGTATGTATATGCCCTTAGTGTGCTCTTGGCTTGTAATGTAAATCCGCTTTGGGCTTAAGATGCATGTTCTGCTTTGCGTTTTTCGCTGTGGGAAAATTTGTGTTCTCATCGATTGGTTCGATGCAATTTAAATTTTAAACTCACTTTTTTTTTTTTTTTTTTTTTTTTTTTTTAATGCACTTCCTGGAGCGTGCAGCGACTGCACATGTGCAGCTGCAAGTATGCTGCTTACAAATTGTAATATATAAAATAAAAACAAATGCACCCCTTCAATGCACCCCTTCAAACCCCTTTTTAACCGTTAGGTGCCCCCCTTTGCAGATCACAGATGCTCTTTGGGCCTTTGCAATCCACGCCACGCCTCTGCTCACGACCTGAGAACGCCTCTGGAAAATCATTATTTTTTTTTAAAATGGGCATTTCCTCACTTGTCCAGATTTGCAGACAGGTTCACTCAAACCTTCCGAGCCCAATTTCTGCTCGTGCACTACCTGATGAGACCACGAAAAAAAATGGGAAGGAAGAGCAGCATCCAGGAGACACCCGAAGCCAAGCAGAGAAGTCTCTTATGAAATGAACGAACATGACGATCAAGAAGAGAACTTGGGACCCAAATTTATAACCAAAAAAAAAGACGAAAAGCATCAGGGAGACCATCCACAACCTTGGCCAGCTTTTCGTCTGTTTTTTTGGTTTGAGTGAACCTGTCTGCAAATCTGGACTATATGCACGGTTGAATCTGCTGGAGCATATAGTACATTGTACCTCCTGAGTAGATGGTCTCAAGGCCTACTCTCACTGGGACTTCTTTCGACCAGTATCTGGATGTAATTGCAGTCAGGTACATCCAGGACTGGAAGTTATTTGCAGTCAGAAGCTGGTCGTGGTTGTGGTACAAATTCCACTGAATAGCTGTCTCTTATACACATCTAGATGTGTATAAGAGACAGCTAGAAAGTAGTGTAGATCATTTTGCGGGCGACT